ACGAGAATCGAACCTGGGCCTCCCGATCACGAAGCGACGCCCTACCACCCGGCTACTGTGACCGATCTGGAGCATCATGAGTGTCAAAAGTAATCCTAAAATGCCTCTATTTCAGAGAATTTTGTCGTTGCTGCCACTAAACTAGTTAGAACTGGTCTTTTTAAAACCATCTGTTTGAAATATATCTTAAGAGGTTCGCTCCTGAGCTTTTGAGCAGATTTTTATCTTAACCTATATTTCAAAAAATCTGCATAATGTTTTAATTCTTACAATGAATTTGGATTCTACAATCCAATTCAACTATATTCAGTTAAAACTCAATGATTAAATTCCATACCAAAAGCATTAAGTGAGGAACTATATTTTGTGGCGGAAGATTTTTAGAAGAAAATGATCATTTTTTTCTCTTTATAAGTATTTAAAGTATGTTAAGTTTGGATTCCTATTTTTACATGCAGTCTGCACACCGAGTTATTTTGTGCAGTTAACTGTTTTATACTGGTCCTAAATTATATATTAAATAAACTGTCATGAATTCTATCATCATATTTGATACATATAGCAAATATATTGTGAAAATCAAGGAAAAAATAGCCCTAATTTAAGCTTAAAATTAGCACTATTTTAGTAATATCTAAAAATTAGCATCAAAGACCCCCACTAATTTTCTTTTCTGAATATATAATATAGTTATAACCATTCTTCTTAAATTCAGTAAAATGTCATTACTTTCAAATGAATTTTTTGCTCGTTAACTTTTTAATGCCAGAAAAATGAATTTTTTGAGTGTAAAAAAGTCAAATAATTGAAGCTGCGGAGTAATTTGAAAAATTTTTCGTTGTCGCAAATTTTAATGTGTCTATTCAAGATGAAATAAGACCGTGTCTGTTCCCATAATTTATTTGTATAAAAATATTGGAGGAAAAACTTTAAAAATTGATTTATGTATAAGACGTTTTTACAGTGCAAAAAGGTCAAACTAAATGCTCTGTAGCGCTAAAAGAAGCGCATTGACCCCCATTTTTTTGTTTTGATTTTTAGTTAAGCTATGTTTATAAATTCCAAAAATATACTTGATAAAAAAATCTCATTACTTTTGATGACAGGATCCAACCTCCTTAAGAAGTTGCTTCTTCTATTTACAGACCAAAAATACAATATCTTATGTACTTTCAACTACTTCACACGACTAATTTATACTAACACAAATAAAGTTAAGATTTTTTCACAATTTGTAGCTATTACACTATGAAGTCAAATTATTGGAGATATTCTGTAAGAATATAACAGGATTAAAAGTAAAATATCTAGCTTACATTTATAAAATAACAGCTTTAAAGCCCACATTTTAAAAAAAAATTGTAAAGATTTGTTAGTGGAACGGCAAAAATTAGAATTTTGAACATTACAGCAACATCTAAAACCAAAAATAAGTCCGAGAATATACACCAATCATTACATCCTAATTTTGTGCAGTGCAAGTTTCATAGTTTAATCATTTAAAAACATATCAGATTATATCGTAATTCATAAAATCCTGTTTTTGTTGGTGGCAACAATGAATTTGAGAGAGGGACGTTAATCATAAAGGTGAAACTTTCCATAAACCAGAGATTCATTTGGGTAAATTTGATAAACTTGCATCAATAGATGTTTTGAAAGCTCAGCGATTTTAATCAATTTTATGCGAGCGATTGGCTTCAAGAGGAGGTTCTCTATTCTACAAATTCACACAAAAATTGATTTACTTCATGAAACAAAACCTGAAGTAATTTGCAAAGTGTTTATCGTATTAAGCCCACATTCTCCGTGCTTTGTCGCCTTCGTTTGATTTTTTGCAATCTGGATTTCAGACAGATTGCAACACAGCCGATTACTTAAATTCTTGTCAATTTTCTAAGCTTTAGGTGGACACCAGTAAGATTTATTCTGACAGTTCGTCACAAATGATGTCCGTGGTATTTATCAAATTCATCTTTGTCACTGCTTTAAACAGAAATATAATTTTTCTGTGAAATGAACATTTTTACGAAGCATCATGATCATTACCTGCTAAGCAATGGGCGAAAGCTGAGTGTTATGTAATTAGCTTTTTATCTGAGAAAAAAAAAGAGTTATGAGAATTCATATAAATGTAGTTTCTAAAACAAGTGTGAATTCTCCAAGTAGAGATCCTTCTTTTTTCCCTAACTTTTCTAATGACGTGAGAATTTTCATTTATTTTTAATTAATAATCTTAGGTAAATTGTACGAGAGTTAGACAAAACACAGTAAGCCCAGTACAAATATAAACTAGAGGTACTTTGAGCACTGAGCTCACAAAATGATACCCCCCCCCCCATACCACCACCCCCGCAAGACTATGTTTTGCTATTGAAAACCCGAAATATGTGTCCGATCAAACAGTAAAATAGGATTACTGTTTTGTATTGTACCCTTTTTATTCGAACCGTGTGCCATTTTTGTTGTAAAGATAAAATCTGTAGAAGGATAAACATTTTGAAACATTGTAGTTTTTGGAGATCATGTCTTTCAACAATCTGTTGGAATTTCCATGGGTACCAATCGCGCCCCCTTATTAGCAGACCTACTTTTGTATTCATATGACGCAGAATTTATTCAAAAACTTCTACATGAGAAGAAGAAAACACTTGCTGTGGCCTTCAACTACACATTTTGATATATCGACGACGTATTATCAATTAACAATAGTTATTTTCATTCATATGTCGACTCGATATATCCCAGTAAGCTTGAAATAAAAGATACCACAGATTCTGATACATCTGTTTCATATTTAGACATTTTACTAGAAACAGACGTTAATGGTATTCTAACAACAAAGCTTTTTGATAAATGTGATGACTTCAACTTTTCAATCGTCAACTTCCCTTACTTATGTAGCAATATACCCTTATCACCTGCATATGAGGTTTATGTCTCTCAGTTGATTCGATAAGCAAGAGCATGCTCTACGTATGAACAATTTCTAAAACGAGGCAAGCTACTGACAAACAAGTTGACGAAACAAGGATATCAACAGTCTCGTTTGAAGTCATCTTTTCGCAAGTTTTTCGGTCGATACAATGACCTTGTCAGCACATACAACCTGTCATTTAGTCAAATGCTGACTGACGTTTTTCATACCGATTGTTAGGCCATTATTAATACACTGTACTGTCTACGGATATTTCCGTTTTTTTTGCTTCCCGATCATAAGGAACACACGGCGGGTGTGACCAGTCGGGGGGATGCTCACTTCTCCATGGCACCAGATCCAACCTCTAAATTTTGAGGTCCGAGTTTGGTCTGCTCCAAATTCGTATCGTTTCATTGGACTTTCGAGATTGAATACTGTTCGTTACCTTCATATTTCATTTCACATATCCCCTTTATGTATATGCATTAATAAAACACGAATATAATTAGAAGTAGATATATCTAATTGTAGATTATTTGTTTAATAACTTTTATCGAAGTAAATATGTAGGGTGAGTAGCATTTTATTAGTGACCAAAATTGCAGAATGAAATTATTTTGGTAATTACAAGAACTGTGTTTATTACAATAAGAAACCGACAGAAGAAAATATGTATCATACGATTCTCTCCTTGTTTACAGTTTAATTGAAATCGGAACTAAACCAAATTTTATTAATAAAAGCAACACAGTTCTTCGACGTAACGTTATAAAAGAATTTTATATCCTAGTGTAATCTTCTTGTGTAGCACGGTTTACTGAAAGGGGAACAAAACAGCTAGGCCATGACTAGTGATATTAATTACATAATAGCTAGCATTCTTAAGTCATGCAGATTTAAATTAGTTGAAATCATAGCTCCCATGTATACAAATGTAGGACTAAGCTGTTGACAATAGTACATCAATGGATCAACAAAAGATCAAAGATCAAAGATGTATAGGAAATTAACTTTTTTTTAAAAATAGGGCAACGCTGAATTGAATTATATTTCTAAATTATTGATTTACTTGGATTTATATTTTTTCTTAAAAATTATGGACCCTGAGGTTATGGTTGTGCAAAAACCATGCATCCAGTTTTTCCTAATACGCAGACAAGAAAAAAAATCATCTCAAGAGCAGCAAGGGCATGTTTGTCATACTGATACTGACGCATTCCCGTAATGTGTGGATTCAAATTCAGTTATTTCCAAAAATCCCTTCAGTAAGACCAAAATATGGAGTTAAAAATTTCATGTGAAAAGGGGAAAAAATCAAAAATCTGATGAAAAACAGCAGAGCAAAGAACAAGATTTCACTCAATAAGGGAATGATTTAATATCAGGATTTCCATGTCGTTCTGGAGAAGCTTCATTCTTTTATACCTCCATCATGTTAAATTTAATCCCCAATTTTGGTGCACCATATCCAAAGTATCAATAATATGATTTAAAAAACATAAACCCACACAACTTAGGAATGTTTCTGAAGCTTTCCATGTACATTGAATTATTGTCACCTATTGTGGCATCATCCTGTGAGGGCATGATTCGAAATATTTTTATTTGCACTACTTGGGTTGCTTACATAATGATGAATAATCACGAAGCAATGTTTATGAAAAGATGTTAATAAAGATTTATTTTCTGATATACATGTATTCCAATGTAAAATTTTGATCCCCAACTGTTGCCCCACCTGACTCCTTTAGACCACGATTTGAACAAACTTGAATACGCCCAACCTGAGGATGCTTGCATATTAATATGTCTTATGACTATGCTATTCTTGAAGAGTTTTTTCTCTCCTTTACAATCCCACATTAAAACTTTGATCTTTGAAATAAACATATAAAAATTATCGTCTTTATGGCCAGTGGCTCTTGAGAATTCTCTTAAGGAGACACCAATTCTAATTTTGTCTTTTTCAATACTATACATTCTTTAAAGAAGGCGTTTCCCTTTATTTAAACAAAATCCCCCCCCCCCTTTCATCCATTCTTAATGTGAATAAATATGCAGTGACCTATCATATAACTTTATTTATTTTTGTTTACCATATCTACAAGTTTTGTATTATTTACTTTTCATATCTCAATTCCGCGTTCTACGCAACTTTTAAACTTCATGTGGCTTGATTTCAATATCGATTTATAAAGCAACTGAAATTTACAACACAAATATTCTGACAAAAAAATTAACATACAATAAAAAAAATCTAATGTAAATGTATTTTGACACTCTACAATTCCTGTTGAAGAGTACTCCAAAAATGTTGTAAATATTCCTTTTTTGTCACAACAAAATGAAAAACCAAACCATGGAGTAAACGTGCAGAACGGTCAGTCAAAATCATGGTGCGAAAAAAGTACTTGTCCATCCTCAGATAACCTATTTCTTGTAGTGGATTTAAAGCTTACGCTTAATTTCTCTGGAAGCCCATGGTTCCATTCTCTCTCCTCGCTTGAAGGTTTTCTGATCACATGAACTGCTAATGATTTATTTCTTTTCATGTGTCATCCGCTTTTTTGTCAGATTTTCCTTCAACTGATTCTGTATTTTCATGTTTTCTTTTTGGTCTGTATCTAAAAAAAATGACAAGAATATATGTACGAAAATTTGATGAAAATTTGTCCATTGCCTGCAGTATTGTGTGTTTCAATTAATATTACATAATACATGTTTTTCAATAAAGCCGACTGATTCTTATCTTAAACATAACTAAAGATTACAAAGATGAATGTTATTTTAAAAGGCATATGGCATCGTCTCATATTAAATCAATGTTCAGCAAGATCCATTTAGTGCATGTAAGCACAATATTAACGGCCTTTCATTAAGCAACTTAATTAAAATACAAGTCACTTATAGCATCCTCAGCACAATGGTAAGTATGTACTTCTACATGCATTACACATGTAATGGACCTGTACAAAAGACTAACTTTCCCACTCATCCAGAAAATACCCATGAAAAACGGATGTGTTATCAAAAGCAAGTTTGATGATGTTGTATTCCTAAATGAACCATCTATGCAAGTTTGGAATCCTGCGCCATAAATTTATCCTGAAAATATACGGTAAAATCACTTATTTTTGTGGAGTCAAATTTTTGGTTTGACCCCCAAAAAATTGTTTCGTTGGGATTAAATTTCGTGACTGAAGAAGTATTCAGTTGATATATATTTTATTTTTATCAGTTTTGTTTAAATTCCTGGGTGTCTTCACACCACGAAAACAACGAAAAATACCCCCATAAAGAAAATAAGTGACTTCACAGTAGATCATATACAGTACTCAAAGATCTCTAGATACAACATCCATACGTCAAGTTTTAAGGACATTGGCAAGTCAAGGGTTTCCGGAGAAAGAAGGTTTAATACATGGGTTTTTTCACTTATAAAATAGTGATTGAGAGTGATCTCCCGTGTAGAATTCTCTAAGCGGTGGAAACCAATAAAGCGTATGTTACAGAGGTAAACAAAAGCACGTGTACTTCCTTCAACGGGTAGAATCATCTATACAGCAAGAAAGAAAAGTAGCAATGGCTTTGTTGTACATTGTATTCAGGGACAAAGAGCCAATAGGTCGTCATTTACGATAGTTGTGCTCAGTATGCTGAGAAGGGCAAAGATGTGACATACGCTGAAAGGTCAGGCCGACTGAGAACAGTTCTTAGCTAGGTCGTGTGAAGGAAGCAGCATTTAGTAACTACGAATGAAAAATAAAAATAAAACAATGCCAATATTTTTGTTACAATGTGTTTCAATCAATTCAGTCAACTACATGATAAAAACAATCAACCAGTCTCTTGATCAATTTTAGCTGTTAAGGGAAGCAACTCAGAAATAATGATCGGTGCCGGTATATCCATGTCTTGTTCCGATATATAATTTTTTAGCCAAAATTTCTAGAAGTCATAGGAAATGATGATACAATAATGTATATGATCCAAAAACTTTATGAAATAAGTGGGTTTTGGAAAAATATTATGGTGAAAAATTATGTTGGTCCCTTTTATCAACATTTTACATAGGAAATGCATTGAGAAGTGTAAAAACATTGATTTGACAACATCTAAAAAAGAAGGTTGGATTGGAAGGTAAAACAGTCCAGAATATAGCCTGTTTAGTACATTTAAACCTACTCAAGAGTTCTTGAAAAATTCTATACGATAACCAGGAACCTTGCCAATGTCCTTAACTAGATGGAGTTATATATATATATATATATATATATATATATATATATATATATATATATATATATATATATAATTACTGCTTAGTATGAAATAAGTTAGTTCACAGAAATGATACTCTATCAATTCAAAGTCTGTATTAGATGAGTGTTCTTTTTATCCTAACATTTTACAAGGGTTTCTAAAACATATATTTATCGTAAGTATGGTATTTAATAAAAAAAAATTCTATATGTGAGCAACATTTAAAAACGACTTTTTAGTAATCATGAGTCTTTTAACAATGAAATATTAACACAGAATTTTACCATTAAACCTTCAAGGCAAACTTCTTGTTTTTCCTCAGATATCAAATGTCAAACATAATTAGGTAATTTGTGCAGAATAGAGGAAAGTCTAACTAATTAGGCCTGAAAATTTCTTCAACAGATAACATTTAATAAATGTGACACAAAATCTCTCACACTTTTTGAACTCTTATTTTTTTTTTCATAAAACAGAAAATACAGGCTTACAACTGCTTAGGATTTCATCCAAGAAAGTTCAAGTATTTCTTCAAGCTTAAATTGCAAGCGTAAACGTGGAGGTGCACTGAATAAAAACAATTTTTTTACAAAAAAAAGTCCGGATAAAAGGGGGGGGGAATTATTTTGGTTTTTGTTTGTATGTTGTTTAACGTCCCTCTCGAGAATTTTTCACTCATATGGAGACGCCACCACTTGCCGCTAGAGAGCTGCAAATTTTGTCCTATACTCGGCACTTACGGCCATTGAGCAGTGAGGGATCTTTTCGTGCCAGCACCTACTGCGACACGGGACCTCGGTTTATACGGTCTCATCCGAAGGACCGGTCTCCACGTCCCACAGTGGGATTCGAACCTGCGACGTAAGGATCAACTCCTTACTTCGCGACTCTAGAGCAGACGCTCTAACCACTGCGCCACGCGGGCGACGGAAGTTATTTTTGCATTAAGGTTATAAGAAAATAAAATAATTAAATAAATAAATAATTGGGATATACCATTACATAAAAAGAATGGGACTTTCCACTATATGATAAGGATTATATCAGTACTATAACAATGATGCTTATTCTCTTTAAAACATCTTTAAAATGGTCTCTGCTTTTTCAGCTAAACAATGTCACATTGAATTAAACAATTTCTGAATTCGATCTTACAGATACGTAAGTACCATTACTTAGTTGATATTTTTTCTTCTCTTCAATCACTTTGAATTTCACAATGAATGCTGCTTGCTGCACCCCGAATCTTTTGAGTCTAATAAAAGCATAAGTATCATACAGTTTTTTCTATCTGACTTACAAACCCAATGAATTCATAATTTTAAAAAAATAATTTTTTAATCAACAGCAGAAAATTCTTTTGAATAGTACTATGTACATTCAGATGTACTTAAAATATACATCTACTAATTCAAGGTTGATTGATTGTAATCTATTTTCAGACAAGAAGTTTATGAATTACAGACAATACTTATCTTTTTCTTAATATGTTATTTCCGATTTATTGTTTCACTGGAGATCCCAGTAGTTGAGATATAAATGCAGAGATGTGTGCAGATAATGGAATTCATAAAACAATTTTATAATATTCCCTACCCAATTCTTAATTCATAGAGTAAGGATGTCAATGAGTGTTCAAGTGCTGGTACTGGGTCAGTCCTAAATTGCGTCAATATTCCAATACCATGAAAAATTTCTTTAAAAATGGACAAACGTTCAAGAAGTTTTTTCGATATTTCCTGTAGAGCACAACCTCGATCTCTTCAAATGTTCTATAGCATTATAACTTAAAAAATAAACTGCGGTAAGAAAATTATTTAAGCGAGTACTCAACTATCATCAACTACCCCCCCCCCCCCTCCCTCAAATAAACGACTATAATATTCGAGTAAAATATTTACAAAAGAGACATAATCTACATATATAAACCATACCTGAGATCATTAAGTCAGATTTACTACAATATACCAAAGTCATACCTTTGTGACTTTACCTACAATATCATTGTAAACAGCTGATGATGAAAGTTAGACAACTTCATTTCAACGAAATATTTTCTTCTTGATACATAATGCATATACAGTAGAAAGCAGATGGGCATGTATGGCGTATGATCTGCAGGAATCATGGGTACAAAAGATTTATAGTCTTAATGGCCATGATTTAGTCGGCTGATAAAAGCTAGACAGACTTTATAAAGTTACGCACTAGGAAAATGTTGCATTAATTTGAAATACCTTTTCAAGTTTAAGTCCACTGATCTTTATAGTTACGATAACTTAGTAACACTTCTGATAAATAATAAACATCTATTATAATACATGTAAGATAATAGGGTATAGTTGAATATTAAAGTTTCAGTAGGTTGGATTGATTGATTGATTGTGTGTTGTTTTACGTCCCATTCGAGAATTTTTCACTCTGACACATAGAGACGTCACCATATACCGGTGAAGGGCTTCAAATTTTGACCATTTCTCGGCACTCAGAGCTATTGAGCAGTGAGGGATCTTTATCGTGCTAACGCCTGTCATGACAAGGGACCTCGGTTTTTAAGGTCTCATCCGAAGGACCCGCAACTTTCACTTCAAAGTGCCGAGCACATGGCGAAGGAACAGTTGCTATCACTACTGGACGAATAAAGTGCTGAGAATCCCAAATTTTACTGATAATAATTGATAATTACTGATACCGTGCTGTTCTTGCTGATAAATACTGATATTTACTGTTATTCTTACTGTTGTTGCTGATAATTTTAGTTGTTTCTGATAAATACTGATAATTACTGTCGTTTTTTCTGTTGAGTCTGATAAATACTGATAAATACTGCTGATGTGCTGTCGACGCTGAGATTTACTGATAATTACTGTGGTCATTGTTCTTGAGCTGAGAAGGTGCTGAAATAGAGCTTAGGGTTGTTAAAACCTTCTTCAATCATTACTTTCTTTTTATTTAATTTTCACAACAACATTTTCATGTTTCTTTATATCTACTGCTTGTGATAAAAATTATGACACTGATCTCGATTACAATACGGTTGTGAAAATCTGGACAATTATAATAAAAGTTAAGTACCATTAAATAAAATTGTCAGCGTAAAGGGAAATATTTGCCAAGAATCTATGAAAATAGTACATGTATGTCTGTAAGCAGAATAAATGGAATTTACCTTTTGCATGAAGATTTCATTTTAACATAAGTCACTGTAATACTAAAACATTAAGGCTTTAAAAAAAAAAAAGAAAAAAAAGAAAAGAAAAGGGTGATAGCCCGACTCAAGAAATTTGGGTAAGGAGGTTGGTGAATTTTTTCATAAAAAAAAACACTCATCTGAAGTGGAAATAGTTATTAATGGGTGGGAAAAAATCGGGATAAAAAAAAATTCCAGAAGAATAGAAAAATTTTGACCTGTTTTTACTCGGTCAAGAGAGGACAAACAATCATTTTCTTTTTAAAGATGGCCCAACATGATAGCAATTTTTTTAAATTCTTTCCGAAAGATATGCATAGTTTTAAACATTTTTTTTTAATGTTCGGTTCTTCTGATCCCCCCCCACCCCCGTAAATCTGCCCGAAAGTGATAAATTTTATGCTTTTTTAAAAAATAAATTGAGAGATGAAAACAGGGGTGAATATGTTCCGTCAGGAGGCACATTTTTTTATTTATTCATTTTAGGAATACGTAATGCAAGCATTCGTAGATCGTCCCAGAATATAATGTTTATACATGTGCAACCGGCAGATGGGGGCTGATCAAAAATTATTTGTCAGAATTAAAGTGTAAGTGCAATGGTATACACGTGTACATGTAATTTTGATGTTGGTCTCTTACAATTTCACAAGTGACCACATAAAATATTTTTATTCAATCAGTTTTAAAAATCTCATTCATTTAATTTAATTTTATGGAATGGAAAATAAGAAATGGGACCTACTAAATGTAAATAATGGATTATTAAGTTGATCGATTTTAATATTCTGAGGTCACAGATCTGAATGGAATACACGTTTAAATTAATTTGTATTGATCAGAAATCGAAGATCAACCCGTGATTTGGCTTTATTGTGTACATGTTAGGCACAGGGGCAGAACGGGGTACAACATGTATATTCCATGTAAGTTGTAGTGGTCAGCGTAACAATGGGCACTAATTACCCATTGTTCTGCGTCTGCGGCCACCGGTGTTAATAATAAACAAATGAACCTACACTGTACATGTACTAAGTCTTGCTACTTGGAGCAGGAACAATCTTTATGGATGTACAAAAAAAAATAATATTTGTTATCGATTTTGTTGACAAATTAAATTGATAGAAAATATTTAGCAAAATAGTACACAGTACAAAATTAAAAAAAAAGAAAAGAAATGAAGTTATATACATTGTACAAACCTATTAATTAAATGAAGTAACTTAAACATGTTAAAATAAAATAAATTTATTTTAATTCACGTAGATCTTTGCTTAGTATTTAATTTCATTTGCTAGTTTTACGTACATTTCTTGAGATAAAGTTTAAAGAATATCCGGGGAGAGGGTGCTACATGTAAATTCATTTGAATCTCTCTTAACAGTGTTAAACTGTTTAAGGGCCTGTAAAACGGAGACGAGAAAATCAAAAGGAAGATTTCGTCTCTATCTAATAAATAATTATGCAAAATTTATACGAGATTTTTGTTTTTAAAAAAAAAGATGGTTTAGTGATTTAGCAATCTGTGTAATGATATTAGCATCAACTGTTCACAATTCAGAAACGCGAAAACTCCACATCGCTGAATCCGAGGAAAAAATCTGTTACATTGTATGACTTATGAATGTCAGTAACATGCTGATCGCACTCATGAATAAATGTTATTATAATAGCTGAATTTTGTATTGTTCCTTGATTCTCTAAAATAATTTATTCATGTATATTATAGATATTAAGTTATTAATATATGCATAACTTATGGAACTTAAAACTAAAGAATCAACCTTGCGCCTAGCAGCCTAGGTAAAAGTCTTTCATCCCCCTTTTTTCTGCTACAGTCTGAATAACTACATGTAATTGAATCATGTCGCGTGTACTTTGAGTACATTGGTCTCGCACAACGAGAAATGGAATGGACAACAAATATTATACTCTCTGTACAAGGTTATTTCTAATTTCACTAAATGCATATATCGTAAGACATACAATGTACTAATATTTGACCCGATTCTCAAAACGAAAGTAGAAACTTCTACACGTGGTGGACATGTGAATATTTAACACGGTGTTTTAGAACAACCGAGTAATTTCAAGTTTTGTTTTATTTTGTTTTTTAGCTGACGGACCGCGTAGCAGGTTATTAATTTTTTTTAAATTGATCTAGCTGTTACCAGTAATTACGTACATCGTACTAACGAAGAAAGAAAGATGCGTACATGTATTTCATTGACTGAAAATCACACTACATAAGATTTCTAGTTCCCGATGGTTTAAAAGATAATTAAAATGAAAATAAAAACAACGAAAGATAGATAGCTTGATACCACAAAATGATATTTAAAAAATTGCGAGGAGGACATAAATTATAGAACTACATGTAGAGCACACTAGCCGAGTATATAAAAGATATAATTCATCATGATTAAATTTTATTAATATTTGAACCTGTCACATTCTTCGTTAAAGGTTAATATATGTTATATGAATAGATTTTTTTGTGAGAAATATTTAATACTGCCTAGTTAAAAGGAGAATGGTGGGGGGGGGGGGGGGTCTTAACTAACAGAGTAGACGGAACCCATGTTACTTGTCAAATATTCAGGTTCTCTACATGAAAATATATATTTAATTGCAACCATTGACTGCATTAAAGATGCTTCCTAAAAGTTTTAACGACAGTACAAATAAATATGAAAAAAATATGAGATGGGATTTTTTTAAAAACCTTTGTGAATAAAAAATTATTTTAAAAAGTACCTGCATAGGTAGAGTAACTACTGCATGAACACCCCCCCCCCCCCTTTCAGATATTAACAACAAAGGAGAAATATAAAGATAAAGGAAAACATAAACATTTATGATCTAATTTTAACATTAAGATGTAAAAAAAATAATAATAATAAAAATATAAAAATAAATAAATGAATAATGAAATGTGAAAACAATTCAGGTGATTTTCATTTAGAATTTAACTAGTAAGTAGATTGTAATGAATTTTGTTGATAAAATACTTTTTTTAAAATAATTAATCAGCACTCAAGCTTTTTTAGCACCTTCTCAGCTCAAGAACAATGACCACAGTAATTATCAGTAAATCTCAGCGTCGACAGCACATCAACAGTATTTATCAGTATTGATCAGACTCAACAGTAAAGACGACAGTAATTATCAGTATTTATCAGAAACAACTAAAATTATCAGCAACAACAGTAAGAATAACAGTAAATATCAGTATTTATCAGCAAGAACAGCACGGTATCAGTAATTATCAAACATTATCAGTAAAACTTGGGATTCTCAGCACTTTTTTCGTCCAGTAGTGTATCCATTTTTTATCGACTTAGGTCAGTCGCGGCCGAGATTCGAACTCACGACCTCCCGATCACGAAGCGAGCGCTCTACCGACTAAGCTATCATGAACGGTCAGTAGTTTGGAGGAACTGCTTTCACTTTCGGTGTAACTGAACCAAAATTTATCTAGTATTTTGAAATTTTAGATCAGTACATAAAATTAAAATGAATGTATTCATTAAAAAAAATTAATGCTCCATGCGAGGATCAAACCAAAAATTTTCTCGATTCCAGAGAGCTTTGGACCGGTACAACATACAACTTAGCTATCATCGCTACTCTGGATTTTAAAACGGCAATGAAGCCCCACATTTACACAAGGGGATTTTTTTATAAATAGAAAAGTTCAATTTTTATGATCTCAGGTCTTCTCTCCATTTTTTACAAGCGTTTGCTCGTTTCCTTGAACTAAATGCACAAAAATAATGTTTTAAAATCATGGAGAGACGACCCAGAGATAGGAACTCTTCACAAAAGGTGTTTAAAAAAATGTAATGTTATGTTGTACAAGTCACTCATCTAACCCATTTTTAAGTTATATTTTAGCAAAATTAAAACACGACATCGGGAAAATATGAACCTGATACATCAAAAGAATGCTATAATTTGATGTAACAAATCAATGACATTTTCAACTTTTCCAGTGCGCCCAGATTCCTGCCGAATGCCAATCAAATGCGTCCTCGTTCTTGAAAATCCAAATATATAGCTCAGGAAGTTTGGAAATGGTAGCAAAGCCGATATATGGGTTTGAATTTAATGAATATGTACATGTATAACAGATCAAATTAAAATATATCAGATACTTACATTGTATTACATCAAAGAATTGACTGTACCTATTTTCAACAATCTTGAAATGAAATTATGAAATTAATGAATAAGTTTCCCCTTTTCAAAAAAAAAAAAAAAAAAAAAAAAAAAAAACAGAAAAGAAAAAAGAAAAAAAGAAAACAAAAAAAAAAAACAAACAACAAAATATTCTCTCTTATTATGCAAGATATCTACAGTCTATTTAAAAGGGGAGGGTGGATTGGGTTTGAATAAATTCTAGATCAAATATGGTAGTGCGTGATGCATGACCTCCTACTAGCTTGGGCTATATAGTGGGTTAACTTTTTGGTTTGATCTGTAGTGCGCTGGACTGGCATGCCAGAGGTCCGGGGTTTAAATCCATGGAGAGGCACAAACCTGTTCTTCACACATACCTTTCCCAGTGACGATGATTAAGACCTGTGAAGTCATCTAGAGCTGCTATGTCTTTGAGGTATTTTGAAAGTTTTAATAGTTCTCTATCCTTATCCCTATTAAAATGAGCTTCCCTGAAAGCTCGTATCTACAAAAAAAATTTGAATCATAAAACAGAGACAACATCATGCCGGAAAATGATTAAAAAGTCCTTCGTGTTAGTAAAAGTTGCCTTTTTATATCTGTATATAGTAAATTTCCATTTTAACTACCTTATTTTTTTGGAACAAAGCATACTGTTAATGTATTTACATATTGCAGAAATTGAGTCTTCAACAATTTAGTTAGCAAAGATTCGATTTAGCACTTTCTGAATGTGCTATATATGAATATAATGTACAAAAAACATTTAGCATTGTATTTGATTTAGCAGAAAGCAGCTAGATGTAAATAGAATACATGGCCAAATGTAATACGTTTACAGTATCTTTATTCTTTTTCATTATAAGGTATTAAGTTAAAGGCCATATATGGAATTATCTGTAAATACTATTCCCGGTTTGTTTACAGAGACTGGGCTTTTTCAAGTTATATGCATTGCCATAAATAGAGAGGAGTAATTATAAATGGGGTGCCAAGGCTTTCTCATAGCAAGTTAACTACATACCCTAAGTCCTGTTTGTGGATTCATGATAAAGTTTCTTCGAATATCATCAAACATAATAGTATTTTTGGCACTCCACTGTTGATATTTACCCCAGATAACTCCTAGTGGCTTCACCTTTAAATATAGAGCATTTTTACATGTATATGTGTTTACCCATTCTTAACTGTTTTAAAATATGCCCACATGTTACATGTACAACAATAATTTGCCACAAACTTTAAATAATTCAAGTTTTTGTATACTGTAAAATTACTTATTTTCATGGGGTCAAATTTTCATGGTTTGAGGAGATTTGATTTCGTGGTTTTAAAGGAGAAATATTATGCAGCAGTATGAAATTTTCACAGTTCACTGGGGATGTGAATTCGTGTGTCTCTTCACCATAAAGACAACAAAAATTAAACCCTCATCAAAATTTGTGATTTCACAGTAAGCAACAACCAAAAATTAGATAAATTAGTTAAATTATGGTATATTACAGCATTTTCACCTCAATGACTCCATATTTAGGTGTATGAACACTTATCATGGCGAGGCTGTCTAACATGAAGCAGATCTTGTAGTTCGGGTTTGAGGTAACTCCTAACTCTTTCATCTTTACCTCCACCCATTTCATCCCTGTGGCAGCTATCAAAATAAAGATTTGAAACCTGAACATATCTTGAAAGACTGGTAATCAAAAATTACAAAGTTCACCTCGAGAAATGTTATGCACAAGTTATGCGAAGTTTCGCACGTGAAAATAAGTGTTTAAATTTATTTGCATACCTAAATGCATCATCATGCATGTTTTGAGACAATGTTGTTTGTAGTTACTTTCAAATGGACCTGTTTCAAAAATTTTCACCTGGTCTCTCAACCAGAAAATGTAGATCAGGGCCCCCTTTTACAAGAGAACTTACAACTAAGACCAATATATAATTTTTATATATAACTTTCCATTATACATTATTTAAAAATGGTTTTAGTCTTTTTAATAAGAACTTTGAAAGAAATGTAAGTCGTAAGTTCTTTTGTAAAACAGGTTCCAGATCAAGCATCTGAAGCAAGTCTGGTAGTATGTATCACTAGATTCATGCAAGTTTGGTCCAGGTTAAGCATGTACTGTAGTTACTTGGGAACAGACTTGGCAATGAATGCTTCTAAAAATCTCAACTGGGATGCTGACACAGAGCATAAGCGCAGTTATCTTCACTTTATAGAGTTGAGCTAAAAATAATTTGCACTGAATAAATATTTTAATACTATACTGAGCAAATGATTAAATGTTTTTTTTTTTAATAAATTTGTCTAAAAGGCATTAAACATGTTTAATAAGGTCTAATAAGGGACATCACAATTATATATAATATTATTTAAATATTTAAAATGTATCATTCTGTTTGACACTACACGTAAATTTTGTTCAACTTGAAGTCATTTTTGAAGGGAAATTGTCTTATTTTTTACACTTAATGAAAGAAAATTGAATTATAAGAAATAAATTGTATAGCTACCGAAGTTATTTTAACAATTAAATGCTTTGTTTGTAAATGGGGAATTTAATAATTGCAACTTTTGCAGAAAAAAAATGTACATAACCCAAAACATTTTATGTATTTCTATATTAATGTATGTATAAATAATTGTATAAAGTAGGTTTAAGTACGAGGGCTGTTCTATAAATTACGTCCTCGGTGCTCGGAAAGAAACAAAAAACGCTTTTCAATGATTTTGTCTTAATGATTTCCCTTAAATATGCTCCTTTAATTGAAACACATGTCTGTAATATATTTATCCAATTCCTAATTGTTTTTAGAACACATTTTTGAGTATGCCCTTCGTATACTGGAATATGACAGATTCTATGATTTCCTGGACTTGTTTCTTCTTTCTGAAAGGTGTTTTTTCAAGTTTGGAAAATGAAACAAGTGGTAGGGTAAAAGATCTGGCGAATATTGTTGGTGTGACAAAACATTAACTTTCTGTTTATCCCAAAAACCCCTTTAGTATTCAGGACATGTGGGTTTGAACGCTGTCATGAAGAAAATTAATGCAGAAGATTCCTGATTCTGGTTCCTTCTTCTCATAAACCTTTCGATTTTTTTTGCAAAAATTTTGCTTTCTAGACTCGTCCAGAAATTAAACGGCCTCCCCATACAAGAATCTGAACACCAAGACCACTACTATTGAAGAAAATGGCATATGAAACTTTCTTTGTGCTCTTGCAATTCTTTGCTCTTCTCAGACCCTTGCTAATTTGGTCATGTGCATCTTGTTGTAAATTTTCCTTTAGGGTTCAAAACAATGCATTCAGGTTTTATTATCTGTTAGAATTTCAGACAAACGTGTATAACTACAATTTCTGAATTTTCAAAAAAAAATTTCGATATTGTTACACGCTGTCGTTTTCACTCATTTGTCAAAACAAAGGGTGACCATTGAGTACAAAACTTTTGTACTGTCAAATGTTTCTTTAAAACAGTGTGAACTACCTCCAAAATTATGCCTACCGAATTTGCTATGCGTCTTAAAGTCAATTTAAACATCATCAATGATAATTTGTTGAATTTTGGCAAATATTACATTGGTTTTGTAAGTCCTTGTCGCCAAGGACAGTACCCATTTTGTATGCTCATTTTCCATTTTTGATCATTGAAATCCACCTGCTAAAGTGTCTATAAAACAAACACTGGTTGCTGTAAACATTACATATTTCAGTTCATATTACTTTTGCATTCCTAACAAGTTTTACATGAAGCATATAACTTCAATCTTGTTAACCGATTCTTTACCATTCATTTTTAATGCAGTGTCTCGAATAGCCCTTGTTTTCCAGCTTCTCACAATGAAACTATATGATGAAATGTGGTCACATAAACGGTTATCAATTTATTAAAGACTCAATAATGAGAAAAAGCCAAGGTAAATGTAAAATATTTTCTATATTGTACGTTATAGAGTTCAGGACATAATTTATTGAACAGCCCTCGTATTTAAAATATAATCGTATTCTTTATCTGTATGTCATGTTATGGTTCACTGATGGAAGAGCCAATTGTCAGGTGACCTTGAAAACCAGTTCTAACAAGCATTAATTGATTGATCAAGAGAAGTAGTTTTCAAGAGAAATAAAAAAGAAAATATTTAGTGTATATATACGAAATACTTGTATAATTTCGCATGGAACACATTACACTTATTATAAACTACTTCACAGTTTATATAGAGCGTGCATAAACTGTCCCACACAGGTTATACAGTAAAACTTGAGTAGCTAAATTATTCTTTAAATAACGAAGCTACAAACAACGATTTTTTAAAATGGAGACCGGTCCTTCGGATGAGACCATATACACTGGCACGAAAAAAATCCCTCACTACTCAATGGTCCTGAGTGCCGAGTATAAGTCAAAATTTGCAGCTCTCCACCAGCAAGTGGTGACGTCTCCATATGACATTGAGTGAAATATTCTTGAGAGGGACGTTAAACAATACACAAACGAAGCTACAAGGATGACATTAATACTCAGAGTTTCAGTTTTTGGAAATGGATTGATATAAAGTACAATGTCTTGTATCAAAATTGTTTTAAACAAACAAAATAATCATGTAATAAATGAATATCAAAATTTAATATGTTACGATTTATGACAATATGCAACAAACAAAGGTAGATGAATGGTAATGCAGAGGAAATTCAGACTTTTTTTTTTTTTTTAATTTTCTGATTTTTTTTAAATAATTTTTTTTTTTTTTATAAAAATTATTTTTCTATCTTTTTTCACATAGTTTGGTGAAATTTATATTTGTGAAAGCTCATGTATTATTACAAATAATTTGAAGGCAAACAATAGAAAAAATTCGAAATATGCAATGATCAAAAGCCATTCCAGACAGCGTATTTCAAAAATATGAACATTGACCTTATGTAATTTGAATACCAGCAGAATTAGGACAATACAACTAAACAGAAGCTATGAGTAGTGTGGAGTTCTCATCATTCAGTTTTTGTAACATTAGATTTTAATTAGGTTGAATCAGAAAATTCAGAAATTTGCCAGAGGAAATTCAAAATGGACTATTTCAACAATTTTATTTTTCAAAATCTAATTTTTTATTTCATTTTGTAAAACTATCCTTATTTTCAATATACTTCATTATCCAAAGCATTCCCTATGACCTGTAATATTTCGAGGAGAGAGAAAATATTAGTCATAGTTTTTAGCATGTTAATGGGGATTTTTTGAGAAATACTCAAGGTCACTAGCAAGCATAAAAAATAGATCACTGACCTACTTTTTTGAAAGTGAAAAAATATAGCACCACAATTGTAGATCTACAAAATGTACAAAAGAAATTTTTTTCTTGTCATCAATGGAATTCTTTTGCCATCTGATTTAATATTAATGTCATTCTTTAAGGTTCAAGCAACTGCTTGTTACATATTCTATCACTGAATTTTGTTTAAAACTGAATAATGTTTATAATATCTTTATAGTAACCATGGTAAAGAATATTCACATCCATTAATACAAAATAATCTAATATTTTGATTTATTAACACATTTTACTAATAACAAGAGGCCCATGGGCCACAGTGCTCACCTAACTTTGGCCTTGCTGTTTTCACCTGATTTCTCTCCCCCCCCCCCCCCCCCCACCCGTAGTACTTATTGGGGCCCTGCCCTACCCCAGGGGTCATGATTTGAACAATTAGAATCTACACTACCCCAGGATGCTTCCACATAAATTTCAGCCTTTCTGGCCCAGTGGTTCTTGAGGAGGAGATTTCTAAAGATTTTTTCTGCATATTTCAATTGAAATTTGGATTCCCTATTGTGGCCCTGTCCTACCCCCGGGGGTCATGATTTGAACAATTTAGAATTTACATTACCCCAGAATGCTTCCACGTAAGTTTCAGCTTCTATGGCCTAGTGGTTCTTGAGAAGAAGATTTTTAAAGATTTTTTACTATATATTTCAATGTAAAACTTGAATTCCCTATTGTGGCCCTTCTCTACCCCCTGGGGTCATGATTTGAACAATTTAGAATCTACACTACCCCAGAATGCTTCCTTATAAGTTTCAGCTTTTCTGGCCTAGTGGTTCTTGAGAAGAAGATTTTTAAAGATTTTTTTTACTATATATTTCAATGTAAAACGGATTCCCTATTGTGGCCCCATCCTACCCCTGGGGGTCATGATTTGAACAATTTAGAATCTACATTACCCCATAATGCTTCCACGTAAGTTTCAGCTTCTATGGCCTAGTGGTTCTTGAGAAGAAGATTTTTAAAAATTTTTACTATATATTTCAATGTAAAACTTGAATTCCCTATTGTGGCCCTTCTCTACCCCCTGGGGTCATGATTTGAATAATTTAGAATCTACACTACCCCAGAATGCTTCCTTATAAGTTTCAGCTTTTCTGGCCTAGTGGTTCTTGAGAAGAAGATTTTTAAAGATTTTTTTACTATATATTTCAATGTAAAACTTGGATTCCCTATTGTGGCCCCATCCTACCCCTGGGGGTCATGATTTGAACAATTTAGAATCTACACTACCCAAGGATGCTTCCGCATAAGTTTTAGCCTTTCTGGCCCAGAAGTTCTTAAAAAGAAGATTTTTTAATGACCCCTCCCAATTTTTGTATTATCTTGATTATCTCCCCTTTGATGAGGACTTGGCCCTTCATTTTTACAATTTAAACTCCCCTTCACCCAAGGATGCTTTGTACCAAATTTGGTTAAAATTGGCCCAGTGGTTCTTGAGAAGAAGTCAAAAATGTGAAAAGTTTACAGACGGACGGACGGACAGACAACGGACAACGGGTGATCAGAAAAGCTCACTCAAGCTTTCAGCTCAGGTGAGCTAAAAACATGAAGCTTTTTGTAATGCTATTTTCAGAATGAAAATCCAACAATCTGCATTTGATTACATGCATAATCAGCATGATCAGTGACAGATTTGAAACACTTCGTTTTTAAAATACTGTTTTTATTGAAATAGAAATCTGTATTACTTTCCACCTTATTTTGGACACCTTTAAACATTTCCAGACATTATTTGGCACATAATAATTGTGAAGTCATAGTGACTATGGTATGCACTTCTGAACTGAGAGCATAACAAGAGGCCAATGGGCCACATCGCTCACCTGGGTAACTTTGGCTATGCTGTTCTTTACCAGATTTCCCCTTGAAATACCTATTGTGGCCCCGCCCCAACCCCCTGGGGTCCTGATTTAAACAATTAGAATCGACACTACCCAAGGATGCTTCCACATAAGTTTCAGCTTTTCTGGCTCAGTGGTTCTTGAGAAGAAGATTTTTAAAGATTTTTCTTATATATTTCAATGTAAAACTTAGATTCCCTATTGTGGCCCTGCACTACTCTTGGGGGTCATGGTTTGAACAATTTAGAATCTACACTACTTGAGGATGCCTCCACATAAGTTTCAGCTTTTCTGGCTCAGTGGTTCTTGAGAAGAAGATTTTCAAAGATTTTTCCTATATGTTTCAATGTAAAACTTGGATTCCCTATTGTTGCCCTGGCCTACTCCTGGGGGTTTGATTTGAACAATTTAGAATCTACACTACCCCAGGATACTTCCACATAAGTTTCAGCTTTTCTGGCAGAGTGGTTCTTGAGAAGAAGATATTTAAATATTTTTCCTATATTTTCAATGTAAAACATGGATTCCCTATTGTGCGCCCACCCTACCCCCAGGGGTCATGGTTTGAACAATTTAGAATTAACACTACCCAAGGATGCTTCCACATAAGTTTCAGCTTTTCTGGCCCAATGGTTCTTGAGAAGAAGATTTTCAAAGATTTTTCTTATATATTTCAATGTAAAACTTGGATTCCCTATTGTGGTCCTGCCCTACCCCTTGGGGTCATGATTTTTAGAATTTAGGATCTACACTACTTGAGGATGCCTCCACATAAGTTTCAGCTTTTCTGGCTCAGTGGTTCTTGAGAAGAAGATTTTCAAAGATTTTTCCTATATGTTTCAATGTAAAACTTGGATTCCCTATTGTGGCCCCGCCCTACCCCCGGGGGTTTGATTTGAACAATTTAGAATCTACACTACCCCAGGATACTTCCACATAAGTTTCAGCTTTTCTGGCTCAGTGGTTCTTGAGAAGAGGATATTTAAATATTTTTCCTATATTTTCAATGTAAAACTTGGATTCCCTATTGTGGGCCCACCCTACCTTGGGGGTCATGGTTTGAACAATTTAGAATTTACACTACCCAAGGATGCTTCAACATAAGTTTCAGCTTTTCTGGCCAAATGGTTCTTGAGAAGAAGATTTTCAAAGATTTTTCCTATATATTGCAATGTAAAACTTGGATTCCCTATTGTGGCCCCGCCCTACCCCCGGGGGTCATGATTTAAAAATTTAAAATCTACACTACCGCAAGATGCTTCCACATAAGTTTCAGCTTTTCTGGCTCAGTGGTTCTTGAGAAGAAGATTTTTAAAGATTTTTCCTCTATATTTCAATATAAAACATGGATTCCCTATTGTGGCCCCGCCCTACCCCCGGGGGTCCTGATTTTAACAATTTAGAATCTACACTATCCCAAGATGCTTCCACATAAGTTTCAGCTTTTCTGGCACAGTGGTTCTTGAGAAGAAGATTTTTTAATGAACCCACCCTATTTTTGTCTTTTTTTGATTATCTTTCCTTGTAAGAGGACTTGGCCCTTTATTTTAACAATTTAAACTCCCCTTCACCCAAGAATACTTTGTACCAAGTTTGGTTAAAATTGGCCCAGTGGTTCTTGAGGAGAAGTTGAAAATGTGAAAAGTTTACAGACGGACGGACGGACGACGGACAATGGGTGATCAAAAAAGCTCACTTGAGCTTTCAGCTCAGGTGAGCTAAAAAACGAATTAATCCCCGAGACATTTCTTCTTACTACCTCATTTTTCACTTTAACAACCTGTCAAAAAGATTATTTCTCTGTCTAATATGTGCATTTTTTTTCTCAGAGGTGGCAAATGAAATCCAAAAACTGATCCCAAGCAAAATGGAATTGTCAAAAGTAACAGCTAAAGTTAAAGTTGCAGAATCTCGAAACTTTAATGTATTGAATATAAAGAACATGTCAAACTGAGTAGGCCTTTCCCAGCTTATAATGAATTTTGAATTTCAACTCCGATACCTTGTACATCCAAAGGTTTTAAAACTACATGTACTTTTATGCTCTACTTAAGTTTTAAATTACAATGGGGAATAAAAATTTAACAGATTTATTGGTATCTATGTGTAACATACGGTTTTAATAATATTCTAATTGGTCATTGCAGTTTTTTTTTTTAATCATATAATGAATATGTCAATCATTTATGCACTTACACCATATTACAATGTCGTAGTCTTCATAAGCTGATTGCAGAAATTCATGTAAGTATGGTCTCATCAGTTCATTAGCTGTTTCAGCCACAGATCTGTGATCTGAAAAAAAAAAATGAGAAAAATGAAAAGAAATACTGTGACATACTAATTAGACCAATTTTATGCTATTGTCTTTAAATTAAAAGATTTACTTCTGCATGGTTTTTGCTGCTCTCTCAGATATAATTCATCATTATTTATTTTTCAATGTTGAAAAACCAGCTTTCTGTAATGAGAATGCATGCAGCTCTACCTCTCTAAAAGCAACACTTAGACTGTAGCAATGCCAATAAATAAAATTGGTCTCCTTGCAACTTTTATTGAAATTGGACTAAAGTTGTATGAGGTGTAACCTCTTGAAAGAATTTCACAGATATTTTTATCATAAATAACCATGGCAACATCATTTCTCAAAATAAGAAACCAAAACTGAATTGTGTATCTTAGGGTAATTTACTTTTGTACCAAGTCTTATTTGTATTTATATCACAGTAAAGCAAGGAGGAGAAATGTTTTGAAAAAAAATCACAGAAAAATTGATTTTTTATTAAACATGGTGAAACCATTTTTTGAAACCAAAAACCAGTAAACAGAATCATGTACATGTCTAAATGTTGTCTACTTTGTACATCCAAATTTTATTGACTGTAGGGGGAATTGCGATTTCAAAGGATTTTTTTTAGAGATTCTATTTTTAGTAACAATGGCAATATCATTTGTTGAAATCAAAAACCGATCAATAGAATTATGTATCTTAATGTAGTCTACTCGAGTACTTATTTTCACTGAAATCTGACGAAAATTGTATGAGGAGTAGCATTATGTAAAATTGTTTACAGACAGAAAATTGGATATAACAGATACTAAACCATCTCATAAGGTCTTCAGGATCTGGCTTTGTGAACTTTAGTTAAATTTAACTATAGCCATTATCTTTGTGTTAATGCTACATTAAAATTAACTGAGAGTTAAACCTGTTGTACAAAAGTTAGGTGACAGTTACAGCTTTAAATTAATTTTCTGATTTAACTAACAAATTAAACTGTTTACCTATGTACATGTACATTAAATATTTAATTAAACAATAAAATCAGAATTGTAGATTGTTATTATTTGAAAACTTGTTGGTGGGAAAGGGAACTTACAGAAAAAGAGAGAATAGAATTAAGAAATGTCTGACTTGAGCAACATTATCAAATCCGATTCCGATTTAGAGTTGGGCAAGAATTTTGGACATATGTTTGGAAATTATATGTAGAGAGCAACAAGATGCTATTCCATATGGGTAGATGCAGGTACTTTTTTTAAAATCCAATTACATATACATGAAACGTCCTAATATTTTATGAAAAAGATCATCATTTCACAAAAGTAGACAGCCTCAGTACGTTAAAGGTTAAACTCTACAAACTTCAGGCATGTAAAGGGAGAGGGGGCTATTTCTTTCCACTTTTTGTCATAAAGATGGATGCATAAAAATTGGCGATGGTGAAATAAATGGATGTTTGGTTGGGAAATCTCAAACTGGTATTTTTATTGGTCTAATTTGCCTTGAAATACAAAGCAGCTTCAAAAGTGTTGAATGACACAATTTCAAATTAATTACATATCAAATTTTGAATAGTTTTCAAATTTCATTTTAAGAGTATTGTCATTTTAGTCTTCCGTATGAAGTTCTGTTGGTTTGGAAAAAAGTAGTATAACAGTCTCTGTATACATGGTATACTTGTTGCCAAGAATAATATACATATGTATTATGTAAAACTTGCACCTACCAAACAACGTGTAATCAATGTCCAATACCAAGAGTTTCTTCCCTTGCCTTGGTTCATTTAGTACAGTGATTTTATAGTCTTTGATGCGTCTGTCAATTTTGGATAGATATTCTTCTCTAGAACAACAAAAATTTAAAAAATGCTGACTTTAAAAAAAACTGAACAAAGTTATCCAAAATTAATTCAATTTTATAAATCTGCTATTGCTTCTCAAAATTTGAGAAGCAATAGCAGATTCAAAACCTCTAATTAGATTGTTTTTGAATATATGTAAAACATCACTACCTGAAGGAAAATATTACATTTCTTATCCATATAAATAAGAAATAAAATAAATGAAAACATTAACATATGATAAACATTCAATGTCAGTCTTTATACAAATACAATTACAGTAGAAAGAATTGCAAATATATTTTCTATGAACTTTTGCTTTACATGTCTGTAGGAATTGGGGAGGGGGATAATTATGCCTGTATAAAGCATGCATTAGAAAATCAGTGGGTTTTTTTTGAAAACCCTATAAGTTAGAAAATCAGAGCTGTGTCCCCTTAACAGTAGTGCTTGATGACTGTTTTTGCTTGTCAAGGATTTTTTGTTTGGTTTACACCCCCCCCCCCCCCCCCTCGAAACTGCTTTAACATATCTTGATCCATATATTAGACTTGTACAAAGAGCACCATTGACATTGACAATTTGATACCTGCTTTCTATAGCTATCTCTTCCTCTTCAATGTCAAAATCATTCACCACTTCTGGGAGATCCTTCGGAACTTCCTTCACTTTATCCTGTGTGTAAATATTATACATGACAGTTTGCAGCATATCGTTTACTTAAACACACTAAAGCTTAATTAAAATATGTTTGTTTCAGTTTCTCAATACTTTAGGATAGTGGAACTTTGCCTGGGGCCCTGGGCCGGCAACAAAAGCCTTCCAGGAGCCAGAATTGCTCACCTGGCTGTACAGTCAATAAAAAAAATCCAATACTTGTCTAGACTAAGATCAAATGTCACAAAACTTTGACAGTGCAGGGGGCAATAACTCCAAAATGGGTGCACAGACTTTTATGAAATTTGTTATGTAACTAGGTCTTGTCATCTTGTTATTTTTCCCAGCCAGAGTTTGCTTTTTAGCTTTTTTATTTCTAAGTTATTGGCAAAAAATGCATTTCATACCTTCCTTCTTTTCATAGTAATAGAGGCCTCGTTTTCCATTTGTTTCAAATGAAAAGTGTTCCTTGATCATTTGTAGAGGCCATCAATATTATAAATTCTCACTATAATAATACTATAAATTCTGCACAATGGTTTCAGAGAAGAAAACATTTGAAAAAGGTTACAACAAGGGATGCAAAGTGAAGACAAAAGCTAACTTGGCTGTCTTGGATATCCCAGGGATTACAGATCTTAGCCCAGAGTCCTCAGTTCCTCATATAACCTAAAACATATTGCTTCTAACAAACTTGAATTACCTGCCAGGGTATACTACTTTAAATTCTTGACTGTAATCATATTCATAATAAACTGTAAATACCTTCATTTATATTATTTGTGAAACATTAAAGTTGGAATCTTATCAGCTTTTCAGCAAAATTAAGAGACATAAACACTTCATGAGTATTACAGGTTCCATGTTACTAGCACAGGTTGTAATAGGACTTTGTTTTTTCTTTTACCAATGTGACTGTGTACCATATGACACCGAGGATGACAATGTGGATCAATCCAACAAAAATGGGAACTATGTCTTAACTTAATGGCATAACGAATTATCACAACATTTGTTACTTCTGAGAAATAAAATAATAATAACTTTGTGACTGCTTTTAAGAAAAAATGGTGACCATGACAAAATGTCTCAAGTCTCATATATGTCACATTTTTTTTTGTTTTTCACATTTCACAAATAAGCTGTACTTGATATTGTGTGAATTGGAGAACTTCAGACAATTTATACAAGAAAAACGACTTACATGTACATCATACATATGTAACAGCACATTGATATCTGACAGCTATTAATTCTTATTGCATTAATTAGGCCTATAGTTGTTATGACCTGTATGGAAGATCTGATACAATTGACCTTCATTATCTTGAACAGTTGTTCTGATATCTCGAATACCAGGGATACTGTAAATCACATAATTTAGTGGGATCAAAATTTTGTGGTTCGAGGAAAAAATGTTGGTTTGAAATTAGGATTTGATTTCATGGTTAAAGAATTGCAATGTTTTGAGCCCTGCCAAAGATCTACTATCCCAAGAAAATAATTGTCTTTTAGAAATATGTTTTTAGCAATAATTGACTTGGACCAGGACAATATATCTTCAATCTTGAATCTATAATAACAGACTGACGAGTTCTTCCTCTTGGCTTATGTCACTTTGTTACTGATACTATTTAATGATTTGACAGAGAGAGATTTATCATATATATGGATTTTAATTATGGAAAATTATGTCCAGCCGGGTGTCATTACATGCAAATTTGTTCATCTGCTGCAAATTTGTGCATCTCGGGTGGTTGGGCCCATAGTTATTTCAAACACTATTGCTATGTCACAATCAGGGTCGTTTAAGGTGCCTCCACCTTCATTTGACATATCATAGGGTATAACAGATTCTTTATTTAATTAAGCTGTTTGCATGATAAAAGTACAAATTTTAGGATTGTTAATTAATAGATACATTAATGAATATATACATGTAGTATGACTAAAGATACCAAAAAGGTTAATATATTATTTAATCAATTATTCAATTAAACACATGCAATTATGAAAATGGCAATAACTCTTTCTCATGTTTTGTCATTCATTGTCTATAAAATATTTCAGATGTACATCATTTCTCTGATTTCCAAAATTTATATAAATAAATTTTAAGTAACATTTTTTAAAAACAATTATAATTAAATTATGCCATTTGAACCAGTTTTTTCCCCTTGCATTTGTAATAAATAAATGCAGTTTACAGAAGATATGTGATTTTGTGATGTTAACATGTACATACTTGTATTTGAAATTCTGCTTATATCTTTTTTTTTTTTAAAAGGTAGCAACCTTTACATTTTTTGATTAATAATCATATTTGTATATATATATATATATATTAATGCGGTTTTTCTACTTTAAACCTGTCAATAAGCAAAGGTGAAGGCCAGCACCCTAAATTCAAAATTTACAGCAGATAATTTTATCAAACAAAATGCTGTCACAGTGTTATAAATACATAAAACAGGAAGTATATTAACATAATTAAAGTCACATTCCCTTACATATGACTTGAAGTCAATGTCGGCTAAATGTTAAGGTTTGGAGTCAGCATGGATTTATTTGATACAAAGAAAATAAACATGATATGAGTGTGTTAAAATGAATTCAATATGTGTTTCATGATTTTAGCACCATTTGGGAACAAATAATGGGAGAGTGTGAAAAAAGAAATGACTTACTAAACACACTAAAGCTTACTCAAAATATGTTTGTTTCAGTTTCACACTAATTTAGTACAGTGGAACTTTGCCTGGGGCCCTGGGCTGGCAACAAAAGTCTTCAAGGAGTCAGAATTGCTCACCTGGCTGTATAGACAATTAAAAAATATCCAATACTTGTCTAGACTAAGACCAAAAGTCACAAAACTTTGACAGTTCAGGGGGAAATAACTACAAAATGGGTGCACAGATTTTTATGAAACTTGCTAAGTAGCCAAGTCTTGCCATCTTGTTATTTTTCCCAGCCAGATTTTGCTTTTTAGCTTTTTATTTCTAAGTTACTGGCAAAAAAAAAAAAAATCATTTCATGCCTTCCAATTTTTTTTTCATAGTAATAGTGGCCTTGTTTTCCATTTGATCAAAATGAAAAGTGAACCTTGATCGTTTGTAGAGGAAATCAATATTATAAAGTCTCACAATACTATAAATTCTGCACAGTGGTTTCAGAGGAGAAGTCACCTTTGGTAAAGGTTACAACAAGGGATACAAAGTGAAGACAAAAGCTAACTTGGCTGTCTTGGATATCCCAGGGATTACAGATCTTAGCCCAGAGTCCTCAGCTCCTCATATGACCTAAAACATATTGCTTCTAACAAACTTGAATTACCTGGTAAACCACTTAAAATTCTTGACCATAATCATATTCCTAATAAACTGTAAATACCTTTACTTATATTATTTTTGAAACATTAAAGTTAACCTTATCAGCATTTCAGCAAATTAAGAGACATAAACACTTCATGAGTATTACAGGTTTAATGTTACTCAAGGCTAGCACAGGTTGTAATAGTACTTTGTTTTTCTTTTACCAATATGACTATGTACCAGGTGACATTGAGGATGACAATGTGGATCAATCCAACAAAAATGGGAACTATTTCTTTGTCTTAACTTGATGGCATAAGGAATTATCACAACACTTGTTGCTTTTGAGAAATAAAATAATAATAACTTTGTGAGAGCTGTTAAGAAAAAATGGTGACCATGACAAAATATCAAGTCTGATATGACAGATTTTTTGTTTTGTTTTCACTTTTCATAAATAAGCTGTACTTGATATTGTGTGAATTGGAGAACTTCTGACAATTTATACAAGAAAAATGACTTACATGTACATCATACATATGTAACAGCACATTGATATCTGACAGCTATTAATTCTTATTGCATTAATTAGGCCTATAATGACCTGTATGGAAGATCTGATACAATTAACCTTCATTATCTTGAACAGTTGTTCTGATATCTCAAATACCAGGGATACTGTATATCACATAATTTAGTGGGATCAAAATTTTTTGGTTCGAGGAAAAAATGTTGGTTTGAAATTGGGATTTGATTTCATGGTTAAAGAACTGCAATGTTTTGAGCCCTGCCAAAGATCTACTATCCCAAGAAAATAATTGTCTTTATAGAACTATTTTTTTTAGCAATAGTTGACTTGGATCAGGACAGTATATTAACTTCAATCTTGAATCTATAATAACAGACTGATGAGTTCTTCCTCTTGGCTTATGTCACTTTGTTACTGATACTATTTAATGATTTGACAGAGAGAGATTTATCATATATATGGATTTTAATTATCATAATGGAAAATTTTAACATGTCTAGTCGGGTTTCCATACATACAAATTTGTTCATCTGCTGCAAAATTTGTGCATCTCGGGTGGTTGGGTGCATGGTTATTTCAAACACTATTGCTATGTCACAATCAGGGTTGTTTAAGGTGGAGATCTCCACCTGTACGAAATTGTACGCCTGGTAATAACACGTAAACCAGGCGTCATGCTCTGCAAAAACCAGGCGGATTTTGACTCAATACCAAATAAGTAAACCAGGCGTCAAATGAGACGGAAACCAGGCGTAAAAAGAGGCGTAATATGCAAATTTTACGCCTCTTCAATAGACCAGGCGTAAAGGATCGTAGTGTCCAGGCGTAAAAATGTCCAGGCGTAAAAAAGTCCAGGCGTACAATACACAATGATATATACAAAATACATTACAAGTTTTGAAAACTAAGTATTTATTTTATCAAAACATCCATATCTTAGTATCAATTTAAATGACATTCAAAGGCAGTTTTTCTTAACATTTTGATGGACAACAAAATGTCATTCAAATAAACTTTACATTAATAAATCTTCCCATTTAAGGAAAATTCAAAATTTGTATTATACAAAAATATATAAATTATCTTGAAAATACCAATCTCTGATGACTTTGTATTACAGCAGAGATGCTTATAATGAATTCATGGTTATAGTGATTTTCATTTCCTTAAGTTTTAGA